AAAAAAAAAGGAAAGAAAAAGGTGTGCCATGCTATGCTATCTGTTCATCCCCATTCTCAACACCTAGAACAGTATCCAACATTTCAGCGATCAGACACTATTTCCCGAATATAATGACTCAAGTTGCATCAAGATGTCTCCTATCCCGGTCCGGCCCGGAGCAGTAGCTCAGCACTATGTGCCAGGATCCCATATGTGCGCCGGTTCTAATCCCAACAGCCCTGTTTCCCATCCAGCTGCCTGCTTGTGGCCTGGAAAGGCAGTCAAGAACAGCCCAAAGTCTTGGGACCCTGCACCCATGTGGGAGACCTGGAGGAGGCTCCTGGCTTCAGATCGGTGCAGCAATGGACACTGTGATCATTTGGGGAGTGAATCACCAGATGGAAGATCTTCCTCTCTGTCTCTCCTCCTCTCTCTATATATCTGACTTTGCAATAAAAATAAAATAAATCTTTTTAAAAAATCCCAAAGCCTTGGGACCCTGTACCCAAATGGGAGACCCAGAAGAGGCTCTGGGCTCCTGGCTTCAAATTGGCTCAGCTCCAGCCATTGCAAGGCCACTTGGGGAGTGATTCAGCAATTGAAAGTTCTTCCTTGTCTCTCCTCTCTATATATTTGACTTTCCAATTAAAAAAAAAAATCTTAAAAAAAATATGTCTCTACCAACTTATCTAAAAAATATATTTCCAATTAAAATCAACTGCAACAGGCAGAGTGGCTGAAGGCAGCAGACACAACTCAAACTGGGACTTCCATATAGGTGGCCAGGAGCCAATGCCTCCCGCCGGGAGTGGGCAGCCCTGAGAGCAGAGCCAGGCGCTCTGATGCTGTCTTAACTGCTGGGTCAAATGTCCACCCCGCCAAAGACTAAAGTGTGCACTTCTTGCTAAGTTTGCCTATAAATTAAAGTGTTAAGGGGGTAAAGAATCAAAAGCATTAATCATTACGCCCACAGACATCTCAGTTAGCTACAGGGATCCTGAAGGATTCTAAGCACCAAACATTAATGATGTTCAGACAGGTTGGAAAAGTTCTCACAAAAGCTTAGTTAGGGTTCACTCAGAAATCCCTAACAGCAGCCTCTGAACTTTGTCTAAGAGCTCTTCAGCAGTCTAAACAAATCTGAGGGAAGAAAACAACTTTCAAAATAATAGCACAACACTATTCGCTTTCCTCATTCTCACTTTCTCACAAGTGTGCAGGGAATTATTCAGAGGCTCCACGAGGTGTGATAATGCTACAGATTAAAGGTACAAGCAGAAAGAATCTAGTCATCTTCTATTCAGTCAAAAGAATTTCACAGAAATTTACAATGTCACTCCTTAAAATTTCTGCAGTAACATAACTTTCAGTAGTATCAAAATGTCCTTTAATTAAGAAATAATTCCGCAACTTCTCAGTTTAAACTTGCAATGCAGCAAGCACCCATGGGTAACACCTACACAAACACGCTCTGTGACACCAGGTATGCAAAAGAGTCCAGGGAGCCAACAAGTCTGACACCTGCTATTCTAAATAAACCAGTGACAGTCAGCTTTCTGGACAATGTTGCCCTACCTTACTAACTTAAAAGCAAGGAACGATTAACGGGCAAGTAACATTAAAAGCAGCTGATTGCAGGCAGGCCAGCCTGTGGCATAGTGGCTTTAGCTGCCACCAGCGATGCCAGCATTTCATGCAGATGCCAGTTTGGGTCCAGCTGCTCCACTTGCAATCCAGCTCCCTGTTATGCGACTGGAAAACAGTGGAGGATGACTCACGGAGATGACTTGGGTCCCTGAACCCATATGGGAGAGAAGAGAGCCCTGGCTTTGGCCTGGTCCAGCCCCAGTTGTTGCAACCATTTGGGAAGTGAACCAAGGGATGGAAGACTTCTCCATACCTCTAACTCTGCCTTTTAAATAAATAAAACAATTTTTTTGGTCTTTGTTTCTAAATAAAACAAATCTAAAAAAAAAAGTACATTCTGTTTTCTAGAGGACCCAACAGCATGCAAACTTGTACAGATTGCTACAAACAGATCTCTGATCTGCTTTCTTACTCACCTATAGCAAACAGGACTTCCTCCAGCAACCGCCCAATCAACAAGGAACAAGCTAAACCAAAGGACCTGTTAGACTACGCTTTTTTTTTAAATCTAAAATATGCACATAAATTTTAACCTATTTCAAATATATGCAAGTGAGAAATGAATTCCTTTATTAAACCTAAATCACATAAACTATGAGCTGAATATCCCTATCCGAAAAGGCATGAGACCAGAGCTGTTTTGAATTTTTTTGGATTCGGTAACATTTGCATCGACAAAATGAGATCTCTTAGGTATGGGATTCAAGGTTAAACACAATATCCATTTGTGGTGTTCCATGTATACCTTACTTACATACCTGAGATAATTTTACAACAGTGTAAATAATTTCATACATGAAACCAAGTTTTTACAGTGTGGAATTTTCCACTTGCAGAGCTTGTCAGCACTCAGTTTTGGATTTGGGCATATTTCAGTTCTCTCTACACTGCACCGTGCACTGTTAACTCCCTGCACACCAACAGCTAGCTCCCTCAATCCCAGGAACTCTGCTAGCCTGACCATTCTCCTTGGTCACCATGTAAGGGTTGAGCAGTGCCTCAGAAACAACCAGAATGTCCACAAAAGAGGTCTGTGACAGCCACAGTATCATCTGCAGTGAAAAGCAAACAGCGGAGTTACTAGGGCCAGAGCAGCAAGCTGGTACTGAAGGCAGCCAGGACTCTGTTACTCAAAGGCCTACATGAGACACAGACCCAAATGACACCTCCACTTCCAGAACCGACTGCAGGATGAGTCAAACCAACAAGTCCCTTCTCTCTACTGGGAGAAAAGGATGGGAAGGAAGGATGAGAAAGGTAGCAGTGGCAGGTGGGAAGGGTTGTATGAATTCCAGCTATTAAGGTAATAGAATCCTTAAAACCTAAAATCTGACTTCCCACTTGGCACGTTTACATATTGAGAGACCCTTAAAAAAAGGAAAAATACCCAAATAAAAAATTGATGACTAATGGTAGAATATGCATATATTTGTCTTCACCCTTCTCTTCTGCACGTACCAGAACATTCACTGCACTGTGTGAACAGTGGGACATCACCCCAACCTACACTAAGCAGACCGATGACTGGTAAGGTCCTACCGAATGCAAGCCCTGACTTAAAGCTTATTTCATCTAAAGTCTATGCTTTGTTTCAACATCAACAATTTCCTTGCTAACTGAAAAAAACTTTTCTTACACACTGTATCAAAATCTCATACTTTGATTAGTTCAAGTTGCAACAGAATTCTTTAAACACCGTTCTAGCCTCAAAAAAAAAAATGCAGACAAGTATACCATAAATATCTCAGCCACTGATACAAGAGAAAATATGCTATACAAACAAAATTAGAAGGATCAAATAAAATTGGAAATCAACATCAAATGGCAAGCAAGTAATTTAACATAGGGGTTAACAATAGTCAGCAAGGGCTGAGTCTTGGCTCTGCAAGCTAACCTGCCTGCAACCATCAGCATCCCATATGGGTGCCAGTTTGTCCCAGCCACTTCCCATCCAACCCACTGCTTGCAGCTAGGAAAAGCAGCGGAAGATGGCCAAAGACCTAGGGACCCTGCACCCAAGGGGAGACCTGGAAGAAGATCTTGCGACCTGACTTCAGATAGGCTCAGCTCTGACCATTGTGGCCATTTGGGGAGTGAACCAACAAACGGAAAATCTTTCCTTCTGTCTCTTCTTCTCTCTGTAAGTCTGCGTTTCCAATAAAAAAATAAAAATCTTTAAAAAAAAACAACTATTTTATGTTATTTCCAAAACTTAAAAGCCTCACGTTGCTAACTGTCCATTTCTTGTCCAGCTCGCCTGGCCGGAATGTCCAGCTTAGGAAAGCTTGGAAGACGAGGGGAGGCAGAATGACAGCAAAATCTTCCTATAAAGAGAATTAAGAACAAACATCTCCTTTTGCCTAAATTAAAATCTTAACCCTAAAACAGAACTCGCTCCTTCCAGATCTTCTTCCCTGTGCAGTCAGGTTCCTATTATAAATATTCAAAATACCCCTGAAGGCAGACTACTGAAACAAGGGGAAAAAACAAACTCAAAAAGCCTGGGGCCGACCTTCTCCTCACCTGCAACAGGTGCTGTGGGACACCAGAGTCAAACAGAGCATGTGCGAGACCTCAGGTACTCACCCGTAACATATACATACAAACACACACACACTTTTAAAAGACTAAAAAAGCAACACTACCAAGCCAAACGATTACCAACAAACTCCGGCATTTACAATTTCAACTTTACACCATCCATGGCAATCTGGTCAACACATTCAATTTTACGTACACACACACACACACAAAACAACTTTCTGCTCTCTTGTTGGTTTCTTTTCCTTCATGAGTATCGGGAACATACGACTGGGTGTAGTACAAACATTTTTAAATCTAAATCAGACTAATAATCAATTAATAACCCGGAAAATATTTACGAAATCAAGGTTAGCATTTTCAGAGTCTAATGATGAGCCTTTGGTTCTGCTTTCTCTTTCATGGGTTCATCCTTCAGGTCCACCTGACAGGTTTACAAATCAGCAGCTACATCTGCTCTGAAATACCCAGCAGGTGTAATCAATACAACCTGTGATGCACGCTAACAACGGCACAGCTCACCACCTCTTATTACTTTCATTCTCTTACGTTTTGTGAACAGCTAAGATTCTTCTAGGGATTAAAAAGTTTTCAACGCAACAACAACACAAACCTATCAAAGTACAGAAATGTGTGTTCCGGTAAACCCCTCAGAATCGCTTCGTCCGATTTGACTGAATGTTCTTTCCTCCAAACCAAAGAGCTTCCTCCAACACATCTAAAATCCTTGCTACCAGGGTCGGCAATAGGTGAGAAACAAACAAAAATAAATAAACAAATAACCCAGGACTCGAACAGAATGAGAAACTTTTAACTTCAAAACCTCTTACTTGTGTTGGACTGAGAATGATGAACGAGCTTAAAGTCGGGTTGTGTTTTGAATTTCCCGTAGTCTCCCGTGGTATTTATACCGAGTTTGGTACAAAGGTGAAAAGTAACAGATGTTGTTCACGCTCAGGAAGTCAGCTCCTCCCGTGGAGAGGGAAGAGGACTCCGTCGAACGTCACAGACACGCAGGTTCCAAAACCTCCAGCTCAAGAACTCACACTCACCCTTAACAACGCGACTGCTCCCCAACCCCCCCCACACACACTCCCCAAAAAGCCCCTTTCCAGTGCTTACAAAGGAAGGGTTCACCTCCTCCTCCTCTGTGCTTCGAGGAGGTACTAGAATCAAGAAGTGACCCCAAGACAGGCCGGAAGGGGGGACCCGGAGAAGCCCCGAGTGTCGCCCAGCGCTCCTGCAAGGCACCCAAGGCGCTCAGGTGAGGGGGGCGTGCGCGCAGGTGCTCGCCCGGGAGCCCCCGGCTCCCCTCCACGGCCCCGGGGCGCCGCCGGGTCCACGCACCGCAACACGGGGCCAGCACGGCCGGAGGGACCCGCCCGGCCCCGCCAGCGCGCCCCGGCGGAGGCTGCGAGGACGGCGTGCAGGTCCGCGCCGCCCTTCCAAGGGCCCGGGAGCTTCCCCCGCCCCCACGAGGCTCCTCACGAGCCTCGAACCCGCGGCCGAGCCACCGGGGACCGGCGCCGGACGGCCGAGCGAGCCAGCGGCTTACCTGTCGTCGTTCTTGTTTTTCTGTTTCTTCCCCATGGTTGGTCAGCCCCTGAGACCCGACCTCGCTCCCACGCCCACGGTCCCCCCGTCCGACTCGGCGCCGCGCCCGGCTCCCAGCGGCCACCCCTCGCTGCCGGCGGCTCTCCACGGACCCGCGCGCTGGGGACACGGCACATATGGTGTGAGCTCTCAGCGCGCAGGCGCATCGCCCCGCCGCCTCAGCGTGGGGACGCACGGCGCGGCTCATCGAGAGCTGCGTGCGCGGCGGCTAGAGTGTCCGCAGCTCGCCCGGCCGCTGCGGCGCGAGCGCCCCCTGCCGGCGCAAGGCCGCCTCGCACCGACGCCCCGCGCGCCCTCCGCCAGCTTCTAGAACCCCGGAGCGTGCGGCAACAATGGAGGTGTCAGTTACCCCACAACACGTAGTCCTGACCAAGCCAAGACTGCTGGCCGGGATGTGGGCGAGGCCTGGCCTTGAGCGTCCTTTCTGGCTTGGTATTCTGGAGCCACACGAAGTTCAAATAAAGAACCTCGTGAGGTTCCAGGACAAAATGGAGAGTTTTAGTGTCTCAACGAGCACCCGTACGCGGGACTACGAAGTTAGAGCAAAGCGCGACGTGAAATGAGCCTTAGAAACCGACTCGAGTGTCAACACAGGAGGAAAGGAATCTAGATCCTAGATTTCTGATGTTTAACATGCCGAGGAATGGAGAGGCCGAGCAACCCCATCCCGTTCACTGAGAAACTACAAGTCCCGGCGTGCTTTGCTCCCTTTCCCGCCGGGCCGACTACCCCGAGAAGTTGAGAATCAAAAACCTCAGGATTCCTACAAGTCAGCAACAGGGGAAAAAAAAAAAAAGAGGGAGGGAGACCAGCACGCCTGCGCAGAGGCGTGTCTCATCTCGCGAGAGGATCTCAGGCCAGGAGGACGCGGAAGTGACGTTCGTCAGCACGGCGAGGCTGCGACCCCCGGGCAGGGCTGCTGTGTAGACGCCGGACCGTGGCGTGTCGGGATCGGCTCCGGTGAGGCGGGCGGCGTTGTGCGGGACGCCGCGGGGCAGGGCGCGAGGGGCGCTGGGAGAGGGTGCGGGGAGTTCGCGAAGCGGCGGCTTTCGGTGGGAGCAGTGGCAGGGGGGCGTCCGGGCGTGGGCTGGAGGAGAAGCCGCCGGTGAGCCGCCCGCGCCCATTGCAGCCCACCCGGGGTCGCGGGCCGTGGTGGGCGGCCGGCCGTGTCCTGAGCGCCGCCGGCTCGGCGGAGGGCCGCAGGCCGCCTCTCCCATTTTCAGCATTTTCTGGAGGGCCTGGGTCGGCCGATCCGAGTGTCAGTTCTTAATCTGCTCAGTTCTGGGACTTCAGTTAGATTCACTAGCGCTTATCTAAAGTGCCTGGAACCAGAAACACATTGGATTTGGGTGTTTTGTTTTGCTTTTCAGTATTTAGTTAGCTGGGGCCCAAGTCAAAATACACAGTTCACTTGTTTGAGGTATAACTCAGACACCTAGCCTAAAGGTATTTCACACGATCTTTTCAGTGGCACAGCTGGCACAGCGGCATACATGCCCTCGTGGGGCACCCACAGGCTTTGCAGAGAAAAGACAGATAGAGATCCTCCATCCACTGGTTCACTCCCTAGATGGCCACAACGCCCAAGTTGAGCAAATTCAGGAGTCAGGAGCTTCCTCTGGGTCACCACCCACTTGGGTGCAGGGTGCCAGGGCTTTGGGCCGTCCTTGACTGCTTTCCCAGGCCACAAGCAGGGAGCTGGATGGGAGGTGCTGCAACCGGGATTAGAACCAGCACCCATATGGGATGCCAGTGCTTGGAAATGGAGGCTTATCCGATTAAGCCAGCACACCAGCTCCTGGAATTCAGAGTATTTCCGATTTGGGGCAGGAGATGCTTGGCCTGTTTGTACATGGGAACTACGAGCCGCAGCACCCTCCTGCAGCATGGACACAGATGGTGGTGTTTGGGGGTGGCAGCAATGTTTTAAAAATATTTGGAGCGTTTATTTTACATATAAATCCAGAACTCTGGGTTTAAACAAATTGAATCCAAGATTTGTGCAGCCTCGCAGGTTTTGTTAGCTATAGGAGAAGAGGAACAGACAGTAAGTAATGCTGCTCTCCGATATCCTTTACATAAATTCTAACAGGACTCCTTGAGTGTTATCGTATTTTTAAAATTATTGTTCATAACCACTTGTTTTGCTTTTCTTTGCATTTGGTAAAGAATCCTGATTGTCAGTTCAATCCACCAGTTATAACTTTGCCACTGGCTGCGCTGCGGTCCGATTATGTTCATAAAGGCTTGTGTTCAGTATAGTGGAATACAAACTAAGCCGGGAGCAGCTGAAATTGGCTGTCAGCCTGGTGCCAGGCGCCCAGGTGTTGGCACAGGGCTCTGTAAGTGCTGTGCTCTAGATGGGAGAGAGAGAGCACTTCGCTTACTGTCGGCTCTCTCCTTCCTTCCCTGGGTGACGCCTCTTGGCAGCACGAAGCTCAGCTGTCTGCTTGGGAAGAATGGAAGCGGACACTTCTGTGGACATGTTTTCCAAAGTCCTGGAGAACCAGTTGCTTCAGAGTACCAAACTGGTAGAAGAACATCTGGATGCCGAGATTCAGAAGCTGGATCAGATGGACGAGGATGAACTGGAGCGGCTCAAGGAGAAGAGACTCGAGGCGCTGAGGAAAGCTCAGCAGCAGAAACAAGTAACCACTCTGCCTGCTTTCTGAAATTGCTGAAATTGCTCCAAACAACCTACATCCCCGCGCGCTGTAGTGTGTTATGGGCCTCATTTGTAGGGTTCTGTCTGTTTTTCTAATTTAAAGTACCTAGCACTGTTAAAAGTTGCCCTAGAAAGGAAAAAAGTTTGAAAGACACATTTAAAATGAGCCTAATCAGTCTCTGTCCTTAGACAAAAGAGCTGAATGAACAAGGTCATTTTTGAGTTTGAGTTTGTTTAGTTGACATAGTGAACATCAAGAAAGCTAAGGAGTTGCAATAAAAATAAATAAATCATAAAAAAGATTGGGCCTGGGGCAATAGCGTAATGGTTAAAAGTCCTTGCCTTGCACGCTCTGGGATCCCATATGGTCGCCAGTTCTAATCCCAGCGGCCCTGCTTCCCATCCAGCTCCCTGCTTGTGGCCTGAAAAAGCAGTCGAGCATGGCCCAAAGTTTTGGGACCCTGTATCCACGTGGGAGACCTGGAGGAAGTTCCTGGCTCCTGGCTTCAGATTGGCGCAGCACCAGCCATTGCGCTCACTTGGGGAGTGAATCATCGAAGGAAGATCTTCCTCTCTGTCTCTCCTCTCTCTATATCCGCCTAAGTCAGATTTACTGAGAGAAGGAGACAGAGAAAGATCTTCTGTCTGCTGGTTCACTTCCTAGATGGCCGCAACAGCCAGAACTGAGCTGATCCGAAGCTAAGAGCCCAGAAACTCTTCAGGATCTCCCACGTGGGTGCAGAGTCCCAAGGCTTTGGGCCATGCTTGACTGCTTTTTCAGGCCACAAGCAGGGAGCTGGATAGGAAGTGTAGTTTCTGGGAAACAAACTGCTGCTGATAAAGGATCCCAGTGCATACACAGCAAGGACTTTAGCCACTAGGCTACTGTGCAAGGCCCTAGAATCCATTTTATGTTGAAGAGAGTATTTCAGGCATTAACATTGTAATGCATAACTGTGACATATCAGGTGCGTGCTTGATCACAAGGGAAGGTGGCCACGTTGCCCTAGCCTTGCGGCTCTTCCGGTTGCATAGTAGTAACTAAATAAGGGAATCGTTACAACCAGGATGGTTTTTATAGGAAGACAATCTACCTAATAGGCAGTAAGCACCATGTGTTAAATAATTCGTAGTCTGAATACTTATAAAAACCAACTGAGCCAGATCTTTTCTTAATTTGTAAATCAGTTTAAAGTATCAGGGTAACTAAGGTACCCTTTTTTAGAACTCATTGCATTTTAATAGATTTTCTCTATGTTTGAAAGACACAGCAGTAGAGGGGGAGAGATGTTGCTTGCTTTTTAAGATTTTTTTTTATTTGAAAGGTACAGTTATAGAAAGCAGGAGAGACAGAAGAGTTCTGTCCACAGACTGAAGCCAAAGCCAGCAGTTCTGTCCAGGAGGCCTCCCACGTGAGTCATGGGGGCCCAAGCGTTTAGACCCTCTTCCACTGCTTTACCAGATGTATTAGCAGGGGGCTGGATTGAAAGTGGAGCAGTCAGGACTCAAGCTCGCACTCAGGTGGGATGCTGGGCGTTGCAGGTCCCAGCTAACGTGCTGCACCACAATGCTGACCTCCTATTTCTTTATTTTCTGTGTGAGTAAAGAGACCTTGGTGGTCTGTATTGGTACTTTGAAAGAGCAGTGCTGATTGTGTGGCAGTTTTAGCTTTACAGACCCTGAAGTGTTGGGGAAATCTGAATAGCATAGTAGATACTCAGCATTCTTGCTGGTCTGTGGATTCCTCTGCCAGCCCTTCCATGGCAGCCAAAGCTGTGGCACTAAGAAGGGAAAGAAGGGCATAAGATGAAAAATAGAGCTCAGTGGAAGCTTGGATGTTGGCTCTTGAGAGCCAGGTGAGACCCAGCTGCCAGGACTCAGGTAGGCCCACTGCTGGATTCTGTGGGGCACGCACTGTGTGGAGGTGCCGTGCCAGGAGCTCGGGCAACAGGCATTGAGCACTAGGGAAGGGGAGGCGTTTTGCACCTTCCCTTAAAAGCATCCAGTTTCACGTATTCAGGTTAAACACATGAGAATAAATAATGAAAGACAGAACAGCACTTAGGAAAGCAAATGCTTTCTGTGACTGACACCGTGGCTTAGTACGTTAAGCCTCAGCCTACTGTGCCAGCATTCGTATATGTGCGCTGGTTTAAGTCCCGGCTGTCACACCTCTGATCCAGCTACTGTTAACATGCCTAGGAAAACCAAGGAAGATGGACCACGTTCTTGGATCCTCAAATCCACATGGGAGAGCTGGAAGAAGTTATGGCTTCAGACTGGGCCTCTCTGGGTGTCTGGGGAATGAACTGGTAGATGAAAGATCTGTCTCATTCTTTTTGCAATTGTGCCTTTCAAATAAAAATTTAAGCCACGCTGATGAAACGGCAGCTGGCGTGAAGGAACTATATTTGAGAAGTCCAAGTGTTCATAGAGACTTCACACAGGGAGACAGTGCCAGAGCCTCCCATGAAAGTGACCTTGTCAGCTGATACAAAATTAATACTAAAACTGTGGACCCAGTCTGGGCCGTGTTAGGTGAAGTCTAGAAGCATTCCTGGCCTTCCCTAGTTGGGCCATTTCTGGAGGGTTGGATTCAGACACCTGTCCCATTTCAGAAGGTTCTGGGCAGATTAAAGTATGTTCAGAGGAGGACATCTGGGAATAGTAAGGTCTGAGGTCTGCTCATATCAGGAAAAGTTTCAAAGAACTGGAAGCATTTGTTTGTGGAGAAGGGAAAATATAGGTGAGATATATTTGAAGCACTGCCATTGAAAGAGGTACAACTTCTCTAAGGCCAAGCTAAGATCCACAGACCCAAGTTAAGAGATGTGATGTGGTTTATGAGGTGGTGTGCATACAGATGCACACGTGCCAGGCACTGTTTGAAGTATTTTCACAATGATGCCTGATTTTCATTTTCACAGCACAAGGAGACAGTTATTACAGATGAGGATACTGAAGCCGATCCAGCTGTCGGATAGGATGATCCCATACATGATGGAGCGTGTGTGCAAACATGCCTTCTGCGTGTAGGCCAGTGCTCTTGGTCACTAGGCCCAGCTTCCGGGCAAGGTGTCAGGAAGGGTTCTAGAAGCTCCAAGGTCTGTCAGACTTGGCTGATAAGGGCTCACTGTTTTAACATGAAATGTTCCTGGTTGTGGGCACTTGCTGGGCCCACTGGTGCCCAGCCTGGAAGAACACCTGCCTCTGTAGCCAGCAGAAGTGGGCCGGACCGTCAGACGTCCGTACTGTCCTCCATGGACTGCTTTCTCCCCTGGCATAACTCACAGATGCTTTGTTGTAACATCAGGTTTTCAGTGACGAGTACAAAAAGGTTAAGTGGATATGTACCTCCTGCATTTTTGTTTGGGAAGTTCTGAGGAAACATGTTGTCACTTACCAGGCAGGTGATGGTGTGCCCTCTGGGCAGTGCTGTGCCGTCAGCCGGTGCCCAGAGGCTGGCTTTGCAGGGCCACCAGAGCTGTAGGAAGGTACACTGTTCAAGGGATTCACTTTTCCTTAAAATCAGATGAACTGCATTAGGAATTAACTGGCAGCTTGGGCACCTAGGATGCCACGTGGTACTGAACATGAGTAATGCTTCGCTTCTCTCCAAATTAGGAATGGCTTTCTAAAGGACACGGGGAATACAGAGAAATTCCTAGTGAGAGAGATTTTTTTCAAGAAGTCAAGGAGAGTAAAAATGTGGTTTGCCATTTCTACAGAGATTCTACATTCAGGTAAGTATATTTCCATCTGAGACTTTAAGGATTTATTTTCATTGTAAAGTCAGATATACACAGAGAGGAAGATCTTCAATCCAATGATTCACCCCCCAAGCAGCCACAACAGCCAGAACTGAGCTGATCCGAAGCTAGGAGCCAGGAGCCTCTTCTGGGTCTCCCATGTGGGTGCAGGGTCCCAAGGCTTTGGACAGTCCTTGACTGCTTTCCCAGGCCACAAGCAGGGAGCTGGATGGGAAGTGGAGCTGCCGGGACACGAACCAGTGCTTAAATGGGATCCCGGGGCATGCAAAGCAAGGACGTTAGCCACTAGACTACCATGCCAGGCCCTAGCTTCTGGTTCTTAAAAGTATTATTAGGACAAATACAACTTTATTATGAGAGAGAAAAACAGTTTAGCACCCTGTAATCTCTGAGCTGGAATGGGGTTCTGACACCACGTTAAGGTGACTGCCAGACTGTAAGCTTAAAAATTGTAGAGATGTGCCTAAGTGATGTTCAATTTGTGACTTACAGGTGTAAAATACTCGACAGACATCTGGTGATACTGTCCAAGAAACATCTTGAGACAAAGTTTCTGAAGCTGAATGTGGAGAAAGCACCTTTCCTTTGTGAGAGACTGCGCATCAAAGTCATTCCCACACTGGCACTGGTGAAGGACGGGAAGACGAAAGATTATGTTGTCGGATTTACGGACCTAGGGAATTCAGATGACTTCACCACAGAGACTTTGGAGTGGAGGCTCGGATGCGCCGATATTATTAACTACAGGTAACTTTCAGCAGCATGACAAATTTAATTCCTGTCTAGTTGGCATTTTCCAAGAAGTTTCTTTTGTGGAATTTTTTTTTTCTTTCAGTGACAGAGGATAAACAGAATCAGACTGACAGTGGTGTTCTTACACCGCAGCAGGCTAGCTGTAACACAGAGCAGTATTGTCTGTCATTCTCCCAGTAAAGGGAGCTTCTGGCTCGCTGCACCCAGAGCTGATAAAAGCACAATTCTCTTGCTTTTTGACCAAAAGTTCTGTTGACACAACCTTGAAATTCTAACCGATTAAGAGCAGGTGGAGTGTCGGGAGACATAAAGTTAGAGGTAAAGCTGTTCACCCTCATCACTCACCTCCTCCCTGACACTTGTGCTGTTTTCTAAGTGTGATAGAGAGGAGGAAAAAAGATTGCTTAACAGTTTGGTTTATCATCTGCATTAAACCATGAAAGATAAATGCTTTTCAACTTTCTTTTATTTTTAGTGGAAACTTAATGGAGCCACCGTTTCAGAACCAAAAGAAATTCGGAACAAACTTCACAAAGGTGGAAAAGAAAACTATCCGAGGTGGAAAGAAATACGATTCGGACTCTGAGGATGACTAGGGCTCAGTAGTCTTTGTAAATTGTTGCTTTGTTTCTACATACTTTTTAAATGTGTTTTTAAACTTCTGTTGCTTTTGACCCGTTGATCACAGTTCTCACATTCTGGGGTTCTGTCTACTCCACCCCGTACCAGGGCGCCTGCACCATATTCTTGGCCTGCATTTTCAGCTGAGGGAAACAGCTGAGTACTTAAATTAACCAGGAAGGATCTGAATCCTCTATTTTTGAGACAGATTTTGTCACGTTTCTTGCATCTTTATACCATTCATAATTGTGTTTCTGATCTACTGAGACCTAGAAAACTTGGTGAACTATTTCAGGACTGATTCTTACCACTATTTTCTTTATACAACAGGCCATGTAACATTTACTGGTGTGTAACACTGCACTTGTAAATGAGCTAGGACACTCTTCACTTCTGGAATATATTTAAGTAGCATTTAAAGAACTGCTTATTTATTCTAAATGCTGCAGGTTGATGCTGAATCAACTGATAGCAGCAGAAAACTATTTCAGGTTGTGAACATACTGCCTTATTTAAAGGGTCCCGATTGCCTGTATTACAAGACGTGCCCTAAAGTAAGCAGGGAGCACTTGAATGGCATCTGAGGTAACCCCCCTGGCTCTCCTCAATAAAACCACCACAGCTGAGTTAAAACAAAAAAGTTTTAAAAAATGTTTGTATCTGTAAGTTGTCAAAAGAACAAACTGCCAACATTTATTCAAGAAAAATAGAAAATTTACTAAATCTGGTTTTTTTGCAGTTGACTGTAGCCTTTGCGCCATGATCCCCTTCCCTAACCTGCAGCACGCAGTCTGAGCCTACATCTCCCTTTGGATTAGTGTTATTTCTCTAAGCTTCATGTTAGAACAATCTTTTCCAAGCAAAACAGCTAAGGGGTCTGAAGCTGCTGCTGCTTCTACCTGGTCCCCGCTTACAGCTCAAACTGTAACTCGGGAATAGCTCCTCAAGAATATCGGGTTCCAGATGTTCTTGCGCCAGCTTGCCGATGGGGTAGAGGTTCCGTACAAGGTGAGGCAAGTAAAAGATCAGAGACTGCCATCCACTGCCCCATTTGCAGCTTCTGGATATCAATTCTGTAAAGTCGTTCTGCTATTTGTGTCCTCAGCTCTTGTGAACAGCACAACAGGCCATAAAAAGAGCTCTACAGCATTCACCCGACTTTATTTAGATCAGAGTAATAGAGAAGTTTGAATATACAGATGCTGCCAGTTGGGTCTTTGCAGTGGGGATGGAGCAGTTGCAGCTAAGAGATTAGGAACAAGCAATAGCATCAAGAAAATACCAATAGAAAGTCCAACAAAGAGCAAAAGCGGCAGAGCCCTAGGATTAGAGCAGGCCTCAACAAGGCCCTGAATTTAATTGAGGCAAATTATTTGTCAACACTCCAAAACACTGCCATAAGCTTTCTAGAGGTTCAGTATCAAAGGTCAATGGTAATAGCAGGATAGAGGCAAGCCAGCTCGGACCTTTCCAGGAGGAGGGAGGGAGACGGCAAAGCAGAACTGTATCCAAAATGAGAAACAAAAAGCACAGAACACATACTGTCCTCGGCCTTGAAGGGAGAGGTCAGAATGAGCGTGTACACCAGACCTTCAAGTTGGAGCAGCAGCGGCTGACATTTCAGGACTAAAGGACTTCACCAAAACAGTGGTGACGTTACTGAACAAGCCCAGCTTGGGAAGAAGACCTGAATTTCTACAGCTGCTGTAATGCATAATCTAAATTACCCAGTTTTCAACACACAATTCAGACAAAAAGAAACAGGAAACCTCTGGCTACATAAGTGTTAAGAGGCAGTGGCCACATGTGGGAAACACACTGCCAAGTGCTGTTATCATTAACATACTGTAAGGGAAATTATTCATGCTGGGTGTGAAAGAAGGTATGAGACAGTGTTCCGTAACATAGAATATATCAGAAATTAAGTAATTACTGAGAGCCAGCGTCATGGCGTATTGAATTAAGCCTCTGCCTGGAGCATGGGCATCCTGTGTGGCATCAGTTCAAGTCCCAGCCATCCCAGGTGATCCAGCTCCCTGCTAATGTGCCTGGGAAAGCAGTGGAAGATGTCCCAAGTCCTGGGGCCCCTTCTTCCATATGGAAGTCCTAGAAGAAGCTCCAGGCTCCTGGCTTCAGACTGGTTCAGCTCCAACCATTGCAGGCATTTGGGGAATGAACCAGTAGATAGAAGATCTGTCTATTCATCTCTTGATAAATCTGCCTTTCAAATTAAAAACATCTTTTAAAAGAATAATTACTGTAAAACAAGAGGAAATTCTGGAATTCGAAGACAAACTGCAATGACAACTTGATGAAGTAGCTCAAAAATAAATTTCAGCCTATAGTAAAAAGATTTGCAAATGTAAGTTAATCAATAGTACAGATAATACAATCCAAAGGATAGGATGAAAAAATACTGATTTTAAGTATGAAGTACAATTCTGTGGCTGGCATTGTGTTGTGATCCCGACATCCCATCTGAGCCCAGTTCATGTCCCAGCTGCGCCATGCATCTTGCTCCCTGCTAATATGCCTGGGAAGTCCTTGGGCCCCTGAAATTAGGCCTAGGCCTGATGCCATGGCAAAGTAGGCTAACCATGTGCCAGGGGTGCCACTATCTCAAACAGCACTAGTTATTGTCCTGGCTGCTCTACTTCATCTCATTCTGGTCTGGGAAACCAGCAGAGGCTGGCTCTGGCTCCTGAACCTACATGGGAGACCTAGAAGAAGGTTCTGGTATTAAAGATTTATTTTTTCTGTTAATTGAGAAGATAAGCAAAGAGGGGGAGAGACAGAGAGGAAGGCCTTCCATCCGGTAATTCACTCCCCAAGTGGCCACAATGGCCAGAGCTGAGCCAATCTGAAGCCAGGAACCATTAGCTTATTCCAGGTCTCCCACACAGGTGCAGGGTCCCAAGCCTTGGCCCATCCTTGACTGCTTTCCCAGGCCACAAGCAGGGAGCTGGATGGGAAGCAGGGCCACCAGAATACGAACTGGCACCTGTATGGGATCCTGGCACATTCAAGGTGAGGACTTTAGCTACGAGGCTACTGTGGCAGACCCAGGATCTACAAATATTGAGATAAAAAGACATGCCCAATTATACTTTTAAAAAGTAGGAAAAAAAAACTAAAACATCAGAAGAAATAAAACATCTTGGCGCTGGTACCATGGCTCAGCAGGCTATTCCTCCACGTTGCACTAGTGCATGTCCTTGCTGCTCCACTTGCCTTCCGGCTCCCTGCCTGTGGCCTAGGAAAGCAGTAGAGGATAGCTCAAAACCTTGGGACACTGCAACCATGTGGGAGACCCAGAAGTTCCTACTCCTGGAAAACTGCAGAGGATGGCATAAAGCCAGTCTCTGCACCCGTGTGGGAGACCCAGAAGAAACTCCTGCCTCCTGGCTTTGGATCGAGTCAGCCGTGGCCATTTCAGCATTTAGTCAGTGAACCAGCAGTGAACGGAAGATCTTCCCTCTGTAAATATGCCTTTCTAATAAAAATAAGCATTAAAAAAAAAACTATGAAACAACATAACTGCAGTGTAAGTATAACAAAATGTTTACTTGTGAATAGTGGGAGGGAAGCTGCATTGCAACAATGTACAGGAAGAAATGGTCAGAGCAAGAAATGATCAGGCTAGCAGCTGAATATACTTGATTCTTCCTCATGTGAAATTGTCAGACTTGAAATTATAAAAAGTATCCCAACAGTGCATTTAGACATTACTAATGTAGATATAAGAGTGTAATTGAAAAGAGAATGAAATTCTTTTTCTAAAAAAACATTTATTTTTATTGCAAAGTCAGATATACAGAGAGAAGGAGAGACAGACAGATCTTCCGTCCGATGATTAACTCCCCAAGTGACTGCAACATCCAGTTCTGAGCCAATCCAAAGCCAGGAGCCAGGAACTTCCTCCAAGTCTCCCACGCCAGTGCAGGGTCCCAAGATCTTGGGCCGTCCTCAACTGCTTTCCTAGGCCACAAGCAGGGAGCTGGGTAGGAAGTGGGATGGCCAGGATTAGAACCAGTGCCCATATGGGATCCCAGCATGTGCAAGGCGAGGACTTTAACCACTAGGCTACCATGCTGGGCCCAGAAAATGAAATTCTAACAAATGAATTTTGATAAAAAATTTCTGATCCCCCTCCATAGGTTTCAGACACATTTTCTAGGAACTTTATGAAAACTATAAAGAGATTGGGCATGGGGAATTAGATGGGCTATAAGTTTACTCCATTTAAAAATGATAGGATAGGGCCTGGCACGGTGGCGCAAGTGGTTAAGGTCCTCACCTTGCATGCCCGGGATCCCATATGGGCGCCAGTTCTATCCCGGCAGCCCCGCTTCCCTTCCAGCTCCCTGCCTGTGGCTCGGGAAAGCAGTCAAGGACGGCCCAAAGCTTTGGGAACCTGCACCCACGTGGGAGACCCAGAAGAGGCTCCTGGCTTCGGACCGGCATAGCATCGGCCGTTGCGCTCACTTGGGGAGTGAATCATCAGACGGAAGATCTTCCTCTCTGTCTCTCCTCCTCTCTGTATATCTGACTTTCCAATAAATAAATAAATCTTTTTAAAATGATAGGATTTCATTCTTACATTTTAATTTTAAAATTTAAAAGATGTAAAAGCTGCCACATGCAACAGATTATTTTATACTAGAACAATTTTTTCTTTAGTGTTTATCTTGAAAGCACATGAAGAGTGCAAGTGAATGAGCATTTTTTAAAAAGCGAAAGGGAGATCTTCCACCTGCTGATTTACTCATAAAATGCCCACCTCCACCAGGGCTGGGCCAGGGTGAAGCCAGGACTCCATTCCATTCTCCTGCACGGGTGCCAGGGAATCAGATACTCGAGCACACACAGGTGCATTAGCAGGAAGCTGGATTAAAGCAGAGTAGGTAGGACTTGAACCAACATGTGATACAGGAAACAGGTCTTGCAACTGCTGTACTTCAGTGCCTGTCTCAGAGAGAGCAGCGTTGAGGGAAGCCCTCAAACACAGCTGTAACGGTTCACTAAGAGCTAGACTCAGGGACTCGGGGGAGGGTGTTTGGTGTAGCAGCTACTGGTTGAAATACTCGCATCCTATACCGAAGTCCTTAGGCTTCAGTCCCTGCTCCTCTGCTGGCATCTAGCCCCCTGACGATGTGTAACCCTGGCAGCCAAAAGAGGATGGCTCAAGTACTTGGGTCTCTGCCACCATGAGTAAGTTCCGGGCTCCTTTACAAATGTTTAGGGAGTGACCCAGCAGATGGAAGATTTCACTGTCCCCTGCCTTCCAAAAGCAAACAAATATGGGAGTTTTTTCAACCTTGCTGATTGACGTTTTTGATTGAGTGACTATTTGCTTTCAGGCGGCGTCTCCATGAATAGGGGCCTCAATAGATGCATTGTAGACTTTAGATCTTACTCCCTCAGGACCAGATTAATAAATATTGTGGCTAAATAAAACAACATGCAGAGAGCACAGTCAGCTGACCAGTGATCCCTTCAGGTCAGAGAGAAATGCTCATGTTTTCCCTTATCCCACTAATTCCATGTACATTTCCTTTCTCTGTTAGTTGGTAGAAACAGCTCTTGGTGTTTGGATGCTGTTTGTCAGGATTGTGAGAACAATG